AGGTACGTGGAACCACCGTCAGGGCCTATTATCCACCGGCAGTCTTGACGTCTAAAGATTGGCCGGAGTAAACACAGACATTGTATCTGTTCAGTAAGGGTAATCATTAACTGTTTACTGATCTGCAGACAAACGTGTTGTGAGAATGACTTGAACACAGTTGCTTGGAGCCACCCTTTTAACGCTTTGGAAAAGAAGGTTTATCAGGTGTGGATGCTTCTCACTCATCGCCCATTGCCGTTGTCACCATTCTCAGTGAGTGAGTTAATAAGGTTTTGCTCCGCACTTAGCGATATCCCAGCAATATCAGGGGGAGAAAGATAATTGGCATCACATATTGTACCCATGTGGGGAGACGAACCCCCTTCAGTGGTTACAGGGAGCACTTTAACCACTTATCTACTCCACCGCCCCTATCCTCAGTGATTCTTTTAAACAGTTTCACGTCATAGTCGTCATTCAGGAGGACTACAAATAGTAATTCCTTACAACTGTAATTTGTTATACGCACCTCTACTAAAAATTTGCAGCAGGTGACCGGTACAATAACAGTTCGTTATATTCGTCATAAGCATGCTACATTCTCTATGTGCAGAGGAATTCACACAATGTTACAGAATCACATGGATAGTCGCATAATACCACATGCACACCTCGCATGACGTTGCCATCAAATGACACATTTGTTTACACATACCAATCGTCATTGTAGTCATCATCATCATCATCACCATTGTCATCATCACCATCACCATTGTCATCATCATCACCATTACCATTGTAGTCATCACCATCACCATTGTAGTCATCATCACCATTGTCATCATCATCATCATCATCACCATTGTCATCATCACCATCACCATTGTCATCATCATCACCATTACCATTGTAGTCATCATCACCATTGTCATCATCATCATCATCATCACCATTGTCATCATCACCATCACCATTGTCATCATCATCACCATTACCATTGTAGTCATCATCACCATTGTCATCATCATCATCATCATCACCATTGTCATCATCACCATCACCATTGTCATCATCATCACCATTACCATTGTAGTCATCATCACCATTGTCATCATCATCACCATCACCATTGTAGTCATCATCACCATTGTCATCATCATCATCATCGTGAGGTACGTCTTCCTGATACACCCGGATCTTTTGAGAAACACCATACCGGAACCGTGTATATATTTTCCACGCCCATTGTTTGAGGAATTCATCAAGATCGGTAACCGAGCTGCCATCCTGTGATATGACATACACAAGACAATGAGGCATTGTAAGATTGGGACATCATCTACTTCTTTTTGAAATCTTCCCCTCCAAGTAGAGATATGTACTGACAATACCAAATAAAATCCAGGATTCGCGCCCTCGATCATAGAATCCGGGTACGCGAAAGGGGCACAGCTCATACATCTGAAGGCATTCACTTACGACCAATCGAAGAGTTGATACCCTAACATCAAGCATTATAGGAATCACAGTTAACAGTTTTTCACCGTCAGATGTGTTCCTCCCTAGCCTTGGTAGTTATCATATGTCTTCCAGTAACAATAGAAGCAGCAGGAACACCAGCAGAAGCAGTCAATCCCTCCATATAATAATTTAAATAAGTGTGTTACAACATTTACTTCTCTCAATTTGTCATCTCTTGTAGAAATCAGGGCAGTGGAGTAGCCTAGTGGTTAAAGCGTTCGCTCGTCACGCCTAAGACCTGGGTTCGATTCCCCACATGGAAACAATGTGTGAAGCCCATTTCTGGTGTCCCCCGCCGTGATATTGCTGGAATGTTGCTAAAAGCGGCGTAAAACTAAACTCACTCACCCACTCACGGACTATAGAAATCAACTGGATACAGATTAACTTACCTACAAAACGTCGCAAACTTCAAAGCTGATTTCAGGTTCAACGTTGGTTCTCACGTGGTGCTGAAGCAGTTGGAGTCCCCTTTATATAATGTCTATGGTACACGTGGCGGTAGTCAGGCCGTCTGGTGACTCGGAATATATGTGGATATAAATAGAATCTGTTAATGTATGACTATATAACTGTTAGTGGGTCTAAAGTCGCTTTCTCTGACGTACTTGCAATGTATGACACCAGGCCTGTCCACCCATTGTACCTATCTTTAGCCTTTTGGTTTTTTGACGGATAGATGACAAAGCAGCGGAGTTCCAAGTTTACAAAAACACACGTATATAAGGGTATGATGTTACAAGTCACTGAGGTACCTGTGTCTTCAATGTTAAATTATTAATAAAACCTACCCAATGTCGTCTGATTGTCAGGAGATCCATTCATTTTTCAAGAATTGTTGTGTAAGGCCGCACTCAGCATTATGTTCCAGCTTCGTCGCGCCGAAGACCCGGGTTCGAATCCCCACATGGGTATGATGTGTGAAGCTCATTTCTGGTGTCCCCCGCCGTGATGTTGCTGGAATAATGCTAAAAGCGGCGTAAAACTAAACTCAGTCAGTCAGTCCAGCTATATAAATTCCAGCTCAGATAATCCAGTGATTGACATCATGCGCATCGATCTACGCAAGTGGGATACTATTTCATGGAGCAACCAAGTCAGCGAGCCTGGCCACCCGATCCCATTCGCCGTATCTTACGTCAAACACGGGTTGCTGAAAACATGTTCTATATTATTATCTGACGTTCGTTATATTGTGTTAATGGTGGGTGCTACTGGTTCGCCAAATGGGGAGACAGAGGGGCATTTACAGGGTCCTGTATGATCCTGGCGATGGTAGGCAACAAACAATATCTGTCTGGATGACTTCTTCACAAGCTGGAGTTTGGACAAAGGATGCTTTTAATAGAATTTCAGTTGCATTAAGTGTGTCAGTGTAACGCTTGGATATCCAAGCTGTTTATCACAACAATGTTCTGATGCTTACAAAACAAGCAGTGCGAACCAAGATTTGAACCACCAATCACAGGTTCCTGTCATATCAAGGGGGAGCAACTCTGAGTTGCACTGCTTTCAGCAATATTCCAGCAATTGCATGGTGGGGCACCAGAAATGGACTTCACACTTTGTACCCTTGTGGGGACCCAACCTCTGTGTTTGATGCAAGGAGCAAGCGTTTTAACACTAGGCCACTGCATCGCCCCTCACTCACCCTGGACATGAAGAATCAAAACATTATGATTAATTATCAGTATTTTATTATCAGTTACATTACAAAATATATTGTATAATACAGTGTTGTGTGTTACAATGTCTATGTACACATATTGCAGCTCTATATCTGTACAAGTCTTGTTGATTTAACAAATACCCATTCCCATGATGTTATGCAATAACAAAGTATGATATACACAGTTCATATGCAACTCTTCCCCATGGATATATATGATATACATGATGTGTGACGACCTTTAAACAAGAGGTAAATGTCAATAATACTCATATTTAAATTGAGTGCTTAAGTTGGGTATCGTCATGGAGAAACAAACGGCAATGAGGGATAACGGTCCTTTTGCCATTTGGAATTTTCAAATTTTGAAATTGTGGCAATTTTGTAATATGCAAAAGATCACACATGATCAAATGGGTGACAAGTAGATTGTTTTCTTTCTCACTTTTGAAGTTTAGGACTCTTGACATGGTTGACAATACAACAGCAATGAGTGAAACCTCAAGTATGAGCAAGTTGGATCCCAAATGAAATTGTTACTATCTGGTTGTGTTTAATACCCATCTAATCATTACCTGTGCAGTTACCTTTGACCCAAACATTTCAGGTGTTGAAATGAACAAAGCAGACTTCAACTTCCAGTAACCACATCTGATATATTTCATAGTAATTTCATAATGGTTTCTCAGCTCTGAAATTTGCCGATCCTGTAACACAAAAAGGGCCTTTATTCATCACTGTCGTTTAATACTTTATTTAAATGATACATGTCATGTTTCTGTGGAACATCACCAATCACATATCAAGCTTCTAAAACAAACAAACACTATGGGCACATAGATGATAATAATCTGCAGTTAAGTACGTCACTGTACAAGATTTTGATATAAACATATCAGATGAGGATGGACAGAAAATGGGACAAATTTACCAAATTTGATAATCAAATTCATTAACAATTAATCAACATTAAAATTTAAAAAAAGCTACTCTCAAGTAACATTTCATTGTGTTTGAAGATATTACCACAGTCTACACTGCTGAACTAGCTCCCAGTAACATACATTTGAAAGTTCTGTTAAGTAAAGACACAGATCTTTCAGTCTTGGTTTGAGCAAACATACTTTGATTTTCATTTCCTTCAGAATGTCAAACATAACCTTAATGGTGATCAGCCTAGGCTGTAACATGCAACTTTTATTGTATCCAGTTTTATGAATGAAACAACTACCTCTTAAGTAAAACCGAAGCTATTTGGAATCTATTAAATATTCAGACCTCATATATGCGATGTCACTGTGTGATGCAATAAGTAAAAAAACTTACTGAATACTTGTTACTAGCCATATTGAACAAATCAGAGAGCATACATCGTCAACAGCAAATCCAGGAGATAAACAGGAGTAATATTTATTAAAATACCTAAAATGCTATATATATTTTTTCAAGTAACTACATTTGACCTCACTGCTTAAGAGTTATCTGTCCTCGCCAGGTGCTAAAGTCATGTTGTACCAAATAGGCTTTTTTTTAATGAAGTCCCAGATCAAAAATATAAACTAGGTCCTATTTTTCAACATCTGGGACTTTGCTACAAATAATCCTGAATACTGAAATGTCCAGATTCTCTTATATGCCTTGTACAGCTCCACACCACAGCATTTGTCAAGCCATGACACTTCATCTACTCCAGCATCATGTAGAACATGAGCAGTGGCAGATCCGGGGTGGGGGGTGCTGTGTTTTGGGTTGGGTTGGGTTGAGGGTTCGACCCCACCCCCCACCCGACTAAAGACCACATTGAAGTTAATGTTTTGCAATGGCAGAGCCAAGGTGGGGTTCAGGGGGTTCGAACCCCCTTAAACCCCCCCAACCCCCTTTGAAAATGTCTGGATCCGCCTATGATGAGTCATCAATGTTTGACAGAAGCTCTGGGAATTGGATATGTGTTCCGCTGGGATACCACATCATATCAAAGAAGGACCTACATCAGACTGATCATCAGACCTTGGATGTTTATGAATCTGATTATGAATAATGATTAGTACTCATTACTCTGAGAAAACAAGACTTGGGGCACAGAGAAAAGGCTCCCAAGGTTCATCACCTCTGTCACTTGGGCAAATCCCTTTTTTCCCCAAACACCTGGTATCTCAATAATGTCATTTCATCAAACAATATTTGGAGGGCAGATGTTGATTATTGAAGGCAATCAGCATCCTTTTGTTCCAGAAGTAATGTCACAATCTTCATCTTGCTTACCACTAACTAAACACACAAGTGCTCACTCATTCTCATCAAATTATCAATTCAAAGTGCGTCTTCTTTATGCCAGTTTGGCATAAATCTAATTTAACAAGAAGACAAAGTCATCAATATCCCCCGCAATGGCAAAATACTCTTCATGATTATGTCTACGAGTTGTGATTATGTCAAATATTTAGGTGTGTATATAGAAAAGTGGAAGGAGAGTATTGAAAGGTTTTTAAAGTTCTGCTCCAGAAAATAGCACTATCACCAATTTCAGTCTATGTCAAACTTGTTGCCATGGAAATGCCAAAAATATTTTATTCAGAAAACCAAAACTACCAAAAGGTACCAGTACACCACCAGACCAATCTATGTGTCAAGTTTGGTGAAGAAACATTGAACGGTTTTAGAGTTCAGCTCCGGAAAAGTGCACTACCACTAATTTCTGTTTTAGTCAAACTTGTTGCCATGGAAACGCCAAAAATATTTTATTCAGAATTCCCAAACTACCAAAAAGGAACTAGTACACCACCAGACCAATCTATGTGTCAAGTTTGGTGAAGAAATAGTGAACGGTTTTAGAGTTCAGCTCCGGAAAAGACCACAACCACCAATTTCAGGCTAAGTCGAACTTGTTGCCATGGAAACGCCAAAAATGTTTTATTCAGAATTCCAAAACTACCAAAAGGCACCAGTACACCACCAGACCAATCTATGTACCAAGTTTGGTGAAGAAATAGTGAATGTTTTTAGAGTTCAGCTCCGGAAAAGAGCACAACCACCAATTTCAGTCTAAGTCGAACTTGTTGTCATTTAAATGACAAAAATATTTTATTAAGAATTCCCAAACTACCAAAAGGCACCAGTACACCACCAGATCTATCTATGTGCCAAGTTTGGTGAAGAAATAGTGAACGGTTTTAGAGTTCAGCTCCGGAAAAGAACACTACCACTAATTTCATTATAAGTCGAAACTTGTTGCCATGGAAATGCCAAAAATGTTTTATTCAGAATTATGTACTCCACCAGATCTATCTATGTGCAAAGTTTGGTGAAGAAATATTGAATGGTTTTAGAGTTCTGCTCCGGAAAAGACAAATGTGCACGGACGGACGGACGAAGTCCATTTTAATACCCCGCAAAACGCATTGCGGGGGATAATCAACAGGCCATATCAAGTGATGAATGCTTTGCTAAGATACAATTGAAATATAGTTGAAAATAAATTCAATAGATTAACCTGAAATTAGAATGCAATAGCTGTGTTCAAGTACTGTGGAAAATTCTGAAACAATGTTAACAATGAATAAAGCCTAACTACTACAGAAACTGTTTTATCATGTTTATAGCTAATCTTCACTGGGGTGCCGATTTCAGACGATATCAGTGGCATTCTACAGATGGTGACGCCTTGGGCTGCACCCCTTGTAAAGCGAAAAGATTGTGTACTGTAAGTTTTGATGATTACTACAGAGAGAGGCCCCTAATGTTTTCGCGTGAAAAGTTTTGTACAGCATATGTCACATTCTTTTTACCTGAATTGATTCAAAACCCCTGCTCGTAATTTCGGTTGGTACGTGAACTAAATTTGGCAAGGACAATAACAACGTTTTCTTCAAACTGTAAAAGATGCAAAATACGTGGTACTTACCATAATTAGTTACAGTAACGAAATTGCTCTGTCAGAAGTGGAAATGGCACACAACACTGAGAGCAGGGAGACTATATAGTGTGTCTCACAGTCCCTGAACCACATTATTTTCCCTACAGCCTAGCCTTCCCTGTAGTGCTAAAGCCCTAAACGAAGCAAGTCTAGATTTCCCCAGGTTCACCTTTTCAATTTAAATGGGTTTGTTTGTTACTATCCAAATTATATAAATTCAGAGACTAAGCGTTAGTCTAGAAGACTGTATAACGGTTGTAGATTATCCTGCTGAGAGTGAGACCAGCGAGAGCTGACGGCTACCTCGTCATGCTTTTGTTTCATTCGTCGCTACTTCGAATGATAGTCAACCACCATTTCAGCAAGTTTGGACCTCTCGGACACGTCGAACCTCTATTGCAGCATCCCGAGGCACGGCAGCATGTCTCAGGCATAGTAATATTGCTGCGCATTTGAAATCGACCGTGCCACAAACTTTGAACGCCATCATTAAGCCGGAAGTACACTCAGGACCGTAGCGATTGGCGCCATCTATTGGCAAAGCAGTAAAGGGAGATAACTGAGGAATGTTCCCCATTGGGTGCAAGTACCGTACACAGCCCAAGGTCGGGACACAGCCCATGACGTAAGTATCGCTAGATATGACGTCACGCCGCCAAGGTAGCCGGGGTCTCACAGACGTCCAGCTATTCCCAGCCGCTGTTTGTAAACAAGACACTTTCCTTGTGTGAGCAGCAACTGGGTGCCAAGACCGGGGACATAGCCATGACGTCATCATCGCCAGATATGACGTCACTCCGCGAACACAACAGTTCTGGCGGCAGATCTTCAGCTGAGAGATTGTTTTCATCATGGAGAGAGATAACAGTGGGCTTGTGTGGCATGTCTGACTACTTGGTCTCTCTATATTATTGTTCCTACATGAACATCCATGAAACTTACACAAGGGAGTGACACAAAAGCAACTAACCATGAAGAAAAAAGGTGCAAAAATTGAAAATTGGCAACGATATAAGCAACCAATTTTACCCTTAAAATAAACTCTTGTCTGTTGGCAATTCCGTTTGTGGTGTAGTTCATATTACTATAATATTCAATAAAATGAACTACAGGAAAATACAAGTACGCATTAGACTGTCAGTACCGGATGTACATGCTGTCAGTACCGAATGTACAGGCTGTCAGTACCGTAGGACTGCCGTCAGAGATTTGTTGAGTGCTGCTATAGCGGATGTAAGTTCTGATGATTGGTTTGTTATCAGTACAGGGGAGTAGAACTGGCGTCACAGATTTGTTGAGTGCTGCTATAGCGGATGTAAGTTCTGATGATTGGTTTGTTATCAGTACAGGGGAGTAGAACTGGTGTCACAGATTTGTTGAGTGCTGCTATAGCGGATGTAAGTTCTGATGATTGGTTTGTTATCAGTACAGGGGAGTAGAACTGGTGTCACAGATTTGTTGAGTGCTGCTATAGCGGATGTAAGTTCTGATGATTGGTTTGTTATCAGTACAGGGGAGTAGAACTGCCGTCAGAGATTTGTTGAGTGCTGCTATAGCGGATGTAAGTTCTGATGATTGGTTTGTTATCAGTACAGGGGAGTAGAACTGCCGTCAGAGATTTGTTGAGTGCTGCTATAGCGGATGTAAGTTCTGATGATTGGTTTGTTATCAGTACAGGGGAGTAGAACTGGTGTCACAGATTTGTTGAGTGCTGCTATAGCGGATGTAAGTTCTGATGATTGGTTTGTTATCAGTACAGGGAGTAGAACTGCCGTCAGAGATTTGTTGAGTGCTGCTATAGCGGATGTAAGTTCTGATGATTGGTTTGTTATCAGTACAGGGGAGTAGAACTGGTGTCACAGATTTGTTGAGTGCTGCTATAGCGGATGTAAGTTCTGATGATTGGTTTGTTATCAGTACAGGGGAGTAGAACTGCCGTCAGAGATTTGTTGAGTGCTGCTATAGCGGATGTAAGTTCTGATGATTGGTTTGTTATCAGTACAGGGGAGTAGAACTGCCGTCAGAGATTTGTTGAGTGCTGCTATAGCGGATGTAAGTTCTGATGATTGGTTTGTTATCAGTACAGGGGAGTAGAACTGGTGTCACAGATTTGTTGAGTGCTGCTATAGCGGATGTAAGTTCTGATGATTGGTTTGTTATCAGTACAGGGGAGTAGAACTGCCGTCAGAGATTTGTTGAGTGCTGCTATAGCGGATGTAAGTTCTGATGATTGGTTTGTTATCAGTACAGGGGGAGTAGAACTGGTGTCACAGATTTGTTGAGTGCTGCTATAGCGGATGTAAGTTCTGATGATTGGTTTGTTATCAGTACAGGGGAGTAGAACTGCCGTCAGAGATTTGTTGAGTGCTGCTATAGCGGATGTAAGTTCTGATGATTGGTTTGTTATCAGAACAGGGGAGTAGAACTGGTGTCACAGATTTGTTGAGTGCTGCTATAGCGGATGTAAGTTCTGATGATTGGTTTGTTATCAGAACAGGGGAGTAGAACTGGTGTCACAGATTTGTTGAGTGCTGCTATAGCGGATGTAAGTTCTGATGATTGGTTTGTTATCAGAACAGGGGAGTAGAACTGGTGTCACAGATTTGTTGAGTGCTGCTATAGCGGATGTAAGTTCTGATGATTGGTTTGTTATCAGTACAGGGGAGTAGAACTGCCGTCACAGATTTGTTGAGTGCTGCTATAGCGGATGTAAGTTCTGATGATAGGTTTGTTATCAGTACAGGGGAGTAGAACTGGTGTCACAGATTTGTTGAGTGCTGCTATAGCGGATGTAAGTTCTGATGATTGGTTTGTTATCAGTACAGGGGAGTAGAACTGGTGTCACAGATTTGTTGAGTGCTGCTATAGCGGATGTAAGTACTGATGATTGGTTTGTTATCAGTACAGGGGAGTAGAACTGCCGTC